TGATTTGAAATGGCATAATTAGTTTTATTAGCCCTGAATATCTAAATTCCAATTTAATTAAAGGACCGATTCAATTACGTCAAGATTCAAAATAACATATTGTAAGGAGACCATTAAACATCTTGAGTTCTCAATTTGAAGGATATCCAGTTGACAAATTGATGGACAGCAGATGATTTGAAATGGCATAATTAGTTTTATAGCCCTGAATATCTAAATATAGAATCTCATAAGTAGTTCTTAAAGTGTGAGTGCGCGACATTATCATCCTGACTTATCATTTGCACCAAAAATGAAGCACCTATCCATCTGCGTCTTGTGCGTATATGAGAGTGTGACAAAGTGTCGTGTGTGTGTATAAGAGAGAGAGAGAGAGAGATTAGGTATTTAACACTTCGAGTTAATATATTCAATACAGAGATTGTGTTCAATACATAGAGAGAGAGAGAGAGAATGTGTTCACTACAAAGAAGAGAGAGAGAGAGAGAGAGAGAGAAGCATGAGAAGTATATGGATTCATGAGAGAACATGGGGTGGAAGCCCACGACTTAATGGCCTGGACTTGTCTCTCGACTTAGGTCAAAGGTTCTAAACCATGCTTATGTACCCAAAATGAAACAAGAGATAAACTAGAGTGGTAAAGATAGGGAGTTTCAATCAAAGCATGAAACACATTCGAACGACAATCGATAGATTTCGATTCAAGTCATGAAAAAGCACATGTATTCAAGAGAAAATATTATCAAGCATTACACAGTTTTAACTGGCTAAAGCAATACCAAAGCCTTAAAGAACTGCAGCCTAAAGATGTATAGCACTGCAAGTATAGTCTACACAACCCCCTGCTGTACCCCAGTTCTACTTTAACACATTGCCAAAATCAAAGCAAGATTCCACTATTGGGTCTTGCTAACTGGTTCAAGAGCTTCAATCATAACCACACTGTTACCCCTGATTACCTGAAAAACAAAAACAACAGATGTCTTTTATGAACAATAAAATGGCCATAGCTAGAGGGAAGAGAGAATCGAAGCCAAAACCTACCACCATCCCTATATCATTTCTCTCGTTGCCGTTGACTTCCACCGTGTTATCAATCACCAGGTTCATGAACTGGTCAAACCCACGCAAAGTGCCAACCACCACTCGGTTTGCATTGAGTTTAACTGGGACACAAGAGTATCAGGTTCAATATAATTACCATACAAAGTGAAGGGAAAGAATGCCATAAATAGCGCATTGTACATGGTACAGAGCCAGAATATTAACCATGGATGATGGAGTTTAAAGGTTCCCAGCTGAATGTTTGCTACAGGGAACTGCAGTTAATCTCCATGGTAAGCCAATACAATGAATAGTAGATGCCCCAGCTGTGCATCTTACACCATACATAGGTTTAAGAATGGCGTATTTTCTCAAAAAATAAAATGTAATAAACTAAAACTCATTAGATTAAATAATGAATGAAAAGAAACATTAGACGCCCAGAAATTACACGTGAAATCCGCTGTCATAAAATAATTAAAACTTGATGTAATTATGTTCTCCCTTACATGCTCAGCATGTGAATTCTTTATGGGAAATAGGGAATCGAGGGCAATAAACAGTCGTAGTTTAGAGGGGTGACTATTTTGGTGAGGAATGGCAACTCATTTAGTGGATGAAATTACGGGGTAATTCATTCTCAGCTAAAGTTCAGAGTGAGGCCCAAGTTGTCCAGGAAGCCAAGATGATAATAGGCACGGCTAGATGGACTGAGAAATAGGTAAGATGGGCCAAGAAACAAGCAAGAGGATCAGTGTTCGCAAAATCGAACCGGAAAGGTTAACCGGACATGGGCCCAAAAGTGGCTTAACAGGTCTAACCGGTAAACCGGCCAATTCAATCGTTCTAACCGGGCAAGTCAAAGACGATCAAAAAAGTGTTAAAAAAAATAAAAACTATACAAAAAAAAATCCACTAAAATATGAAAAACATATAAAGAAGGATTAAAACAAAACACATTCAAATAAAGTTGAAAATTAATGAAAAAATGGATTTTAACAAATCGATTTGGGCCTAGGGATATTTTTAAAATTTTCTGAAAAAAATGGGAAAATATGAAAGTTAGTATTAATGAACAAAATAATTCTTAATATCTACAATAATGTAAAGAATATTAAAAAATACATTACAAACCAAATTTCTTATTTTTGAGAATTTATATACATTTAAAGAATTAAAAATTAAAATACCGGTTAATCACCAAAACCACCCAAAAACAGAACCGGCCACCGGTTCCGATCTAACCGGGCAGTTAACAATTAGATCGCCCAATTTTTCCAACAGTGAAGAGGATCCATAATGTGTGGAATATAATTGTAATGTTCTTCGGTTTAGGTGCAATTATTAAAAAAACAAAGTTACATCAAGGTTTACATCACTTGTAGGACATCATAGACTGATTAAACAACCACTAGGAGGTTCCATGCTAACACGGTTGAAAAATTAGGAGAAACCTGTGCAGTCAGACCATTTTCTGATATCAGGTGACTCAGAGCCTTGCCTCACTTTTTGGTTTGGAAAAAAAAATTGCTGAAGAGTCCTAATTTCTAGGCTTTGATTCAATGGTCCCCAACATTAAGAGTTGGGGTGGCAATGATGAGCAGGAAGCATCACATGATTAAGTGGCAGCAGAAAGAGCAGAATGGGAAGATTTTTGGCAAGTTGGGGAAAGGCACCCTACCGGAAGCAAGCAGAACTACATGAAAGGAAAGAGTCATCTAATCTAACCGTGTAACAGATGAGGTAAGGTCAAAACAATGCAACTCAAAATGGAGTAGCAAAATATTTTGTGACAAGAAGAATTCGTTTCGGATAGGCCATAGTGAAATGGTTGAAGAAGGGAAACTGAAACATGAAGCTCTTCAGTAAAGTTACCAACAGAAATATATCTCAAGGAGACATGAGGGTGTCTTCAAAAGGAATTACACATCACTATTCATAAAATGCTAGAAGCCAAAACTAAACCGCCTTAGCTTTGAAGTTTGAAAGCATAATAGATGGGTGACCACTATTTGTAGTGTGTATTGTGTATGTGAAACTATGGGAATATTGTGAAGGATCTGATGATGGACGTTTCTCGTATGCTCCACATTGATTCCAGATTAATATGGCGATGAATTATAACGGTCTCAGCCTGAAGCCTAAGATTAAGGGGAAAGAACAACTAAATTTGAGGCCCACAGGCCTGGTGTGTAGTGCCCAAGAGATAGTAGAAAAAGTTCTATCCACCAACTTAAGGGAAGAATTTAGACAATTATCTCTCTTTCACAGACCTTTGCAAGAGGCTAGCATATTTCAGATATTGCAATCATCAACTACTAGGCCACAAACTCCAAGATGTAACCATAGATTAGAAGGCCAGAAATAGATGGAGTTTGGTGTTCAGCATGTATGGCAGATGATGGCAGTTCTTTGCTACTTTTTCTCTAGGAAACAATGCAGCCCTTAACCTCCAGTTTACTGATAAAACCTTCGCAATTTGCACTAAACTACTAACTCCATACTTGGGAATGGGCGCCAAATCATGATAGCTACTTGGACCTTCCAGCTATGCATGTAAATAAGAAAATCTGGTGGGTCTCAATGGTGGAACATCATGACAGGAAGTTGGCACTGAATTACTGAGAAGATATATACTTGTATTTTGGTGGGAAATTTTCTCTTATTGAGGCCAACATAACACAGATCCCGATACACTTGATCTCTACTTCAGATGCCTGTTGTGTTAGCGAATCAAATAATAAAAGATAGAGTGTTTACGTTTTTATAATAAACTAAAAGACTTTATATGTATGCAAAATAGTGAGCCACAAGTTCCTTTGGGAAAATATGCAGAGATTTCCCAAAGAAGCAAGATGACCTTGACTTTCATAAGCTTAAGGAAGGAAGTAAGGTCCTGGATCAGTGGCATTAGAGATTTATTCCATGCATCACAAAGTTACCAGTCAAAAAAGAAAACAAATAAAATAGGATTTTGTGGCTTTGAAGAAAGGCAACTCGGAGGAAGTGAGGTTGTATGATCATAACTTAGGAGCATATATCATGTGGGCTATGTTCTATGTAACAACATTGCATGTTGCATGTTTTTGGGATAATCTGACACACCAATGAAATAGACATGTGCAATGTTCGAAAAATCAAACCGACCTCGGAAGCCGGCCAATGCTGGGTCTGAGTAATCGATAAACTGGCCAGTTCAACCAGCCAAAACGGGCAGGTCCTAGCTGGTCCAAAAAGTATTGAAAAACTACAAAAAAAAAATCAAAAAAAAATGAAAAATATATTTAAAGCATGATTAAACAAAGCACATCCAAATGAAGTGGAAAAGTAGTAAAAAAATGAATTTTTAAAAATCAATTTGTGCCCAAGTGTATTTTTGAAATTTTCCAAAAAAATATGGAAAAATGCAAAAATAAATATTCATGGCCAAAACACTTTCCAATCTTTTGCCAAAATAATTAAAAAAAAAACTCCAAAACACATTACAAACAAATCTCTTATTTTTTGGAATTTTATATTTTTTTAATTTTTTTTAAATGCCTGGCCGAACCACCAAAACCGGATCAGCCAGTGCCCGGTTCTGAGTTGGACTGGTCGAGTTTGCAAACACTGGACATGCGTGTGGACTTGAATAAAGACACAAGAAATCCCTATTGACATGCATGTCTGAAAAGTTCCGTATTTTGGATTCACATACAAACGCATGTTGCTGTGTGGACACGAGTCCACAAATTAGACAAACAAGACACTTACCTGTTTTGTAAGCTGTGTGTTAGCATTGTAAGATGTGTGCACATTTTCTAGGACACTATGTCCACATGTTTTGTTGTGTGCCTATGATTTGGACACGTGTTGTACTAGATTTAAAAAATATAGGTAGGTGTGTCAGATTCTCCATAGCTGAGACAGACACAAATTCTAATATCAGTGTCCTTGGGTTATGCTTGCTTTTTATCCATTTTTTCTTTTGAAACTTAACAAGCAATATAGAGTGAAAGACTAGAAATATGCAGACTGGCTCAGGACTATATCTAGTGTCCAGACCGAGAGTTTGGAGTCAGACACAAGAAATCCCTTTTTTATTTGAATGTTATAGCACTTAGTTGTTTAAGTTTATTGCCATAGAAAAACCAAATACTGAAAAAGTAAGAAAAAGGGAACAAGAAAAACATTTCTAATTTTCAGTTAACTGCAACATTAATGTGATCTGTGGCTCAATGGGCCTGCTAATTTCAAGTCAAACTAAATATATCCAAAACGAAATGTTCCATCAATAAGGGTTCTTATGATGCACCACTAAATTCCATAAACAAATAACCACATATTTTTCTATCAAATACTGTGGGAAAATTAAATATTGAATAGACATGGTACACCAAAGCTCTGTTCACCTTGAAGCAGAAAAGCAAGTTGTACATTTGACTTCAATATCCTACCCTTTGCATAAAAACAAGGAATACACAGAAAAATACATAAAACAAATTCTGACCATTTGAAAGGTAAATAGACTTAGCTTTAGGCTGAAATATAATTAGGTTTAGGTTCATAACACTTCTTTGCAGTTTACTAATCAAAATAACAAGTAGCAATAAACTTACTCTCAGAAAGACGGTAGCTTTATAAGTAACGTAAGAGATAAATGATATATATCCAGATTTAGGGGAAAAAAATATCTTACTGTGAAGCTTCTTGTCCATGTACCTGTTGCAAAAACATGAAAAATAGAAAATGTTAACAATGCAAACACGGAATGTAAATAATATATTAAATTAAGGCCTCAAATATGGCAAACACACAAACTGAATTTCAAAATGTAACAAAATGAAATATTAGGGTTTGCTAGGTAGCCAAATGCGAAGAGAGAGAGATGAAGAGAGAAACTCACTTCTTGAGATCCGGTGGCTGCCCTGACTTGCTCATGGTGAGAGAGGCCAAAAACCCTTATTCCTTAAACCCTAACTTCTGCTCGACACTGTAAGGAGAGGGAGAGAGACCAAAACCCTAATTCCTAAAACCCCAAGGTCTGCTCGACACTGCGAACGACTAATACGGGAGCCCTTTTAATTGAACAAGGGAATAAGGGAGGGTCAAAGGAGAGAAAAATTGCGTACGTACCATAACGGGTACTACGCCGTGGTCCAATAATTTTACAGGGAGATCCACCGCTCTTTTTGTTTAATTTCTAATACTGCCCCTCGGTCTAATATTTCAAACAAGATTTTTAAAAAACATCGGTAGTAGATTTGCTATTAGGATTGGAGAGCTCAAAAAAAATTAAAAAATAAGTGGGATTGGTCTGGCAGACCTTTGACTGAATTGGCCAGTCAAGATTGATCAAAACTTGCTCGGTTCGGTGATTAAAAAAAATTTAAAAAAATGTGAAGCCAGTTTGTATCGATTCTCTGGCAAAACCGATTAGTGCTATTAGAGAACCGATTCAAACCGCCCAGCACTGGCCATCTTATGAGGAGAACGGCCGATTCTGGATATTTTATGAGATTGAGATCAATCCGACTCATTCCTAATCCAAATCAGCTAGTTTTGAAGCAAATCCCCGATTTTTTATACACTAGTCAAAGACAAATGGAAGACAAGCTATAATTTGGGATTGATGCATTTCCTCGAGATTTTCTCCAACCTTCGTATTGAGAATACACAATTGATAATGACACGAACAATTGTGCATGTATGATGTATGTACAAACTACTTACACATAGCCCTTGCCAAAAAGCTAGTTCTTGTTCTTGTTGAATGGAATAATAGACTCATAAATTTATTAAATAAAATAATTAGTAAAAATGAATAAAAATACACTCATGTTGCCAAAAAAAAAAACCCACTTTTCTTGGGCTAAGTTATTTCTGTATGTGTCTATAACATACTCCTGCGGGAGCATATACTATATACTTTCCCTCGGGTAATAGATGACATGGGATGGTTTTGTCAATCTAAAATATTTGGATCAATCTAAGATTCAATAACCACTAACTCGATGATATTTTCAAGAAATAGAAGTTGAATTTAGGATAAAAGTTGAATTAAGGTTCCTAAAGTATAGATTCAACCATCCTAAAATTTTATAATCTACGTTCAATATCGAAGTGTCCTCTCATACAGAGTATGATTCTTTTTTAGGTAACCCCAAGGTCATATCCCAAAAATTTAAGGTCTTAAAGATAAGGTTTTACCTAAGGGATTGAATATACAATATGATCCAACAAGAGCATATAATATCTGTACATCAAGGACACACCACAACCACTAACATTTGTACCGTCCAAATAAATGGACGGTGAAACTTGCACCTCAAAGTCTATAAAAGGGGAAACACTTACCAGCAACCTTGTTCCATCTAACTCAAATTATTAATTTTCTTTTTCACATTTTTTTATTTATTTCTCTAAAACTCCTCAATCCTCTCTTTTGTTTTGTTTTCTTTATCCTTCCAAGCCTTTCATAGCCACTCATCATCAAAAGCTTTTTTTTTTCTAACTAATTGGAGATGGTTCCACAAATCATGTTATGTCATTATGTTTTATTAAAGGTTATACCCACACAGTGAAAACATAAGTTGTCATATCTTTTCTCGCTACTTCCAATATATCCTTTTGGGTTTAATTATTTCCCTGTTTTTAGCCTTCCACTTGAAGTAACTTGCACTAGGTTTGTGCTACGTGTCATCAACCCACTTAAGTCTACTTCTTTTATTTTAGGGAAAAGTTTATATAGAGCCGAGGCTCTAAACAATCAAATAAGAGCCTACCTCAAAAATTTCACTAGAAGAGGTTGTTTTGATGCCCAAATATCCTCAAATTGATCATCTCGACATCGAGATGTATGGACATGAGAAAAAAATGAATTTCAAGTTTTGGAAATAGTGTATTTTGTAATACATTTTTTTACCATCAAATTTCAAGATTTTCAAGTTTCTATACATGTGTCTATCTATACTATTTTTAAATTTTAAACTTTGTAAATAAAAATGAAAATACATTTTAAGGCTATTACAAAAATTTCAAGGATTGAAACCACATTTCTCAATACTATTTGAAGGTAGTCTCTAATTTGATTGTTTAGAGCCTAAGCTCTATACAAACCACAACAATTATTTTATTACTTATTGGTGCCACAACTAAATTTTCATGCATGTATTCATTTCAAATATTATCCCTCATTGTCTTGTCTCTCAGTTATCTCAACATTTCATCTCAGTACACTCATTCTATATATATTTCTCTCTTTCTTCTTGAGTTTGGAGGGATAGAAAGAAAGATGTCACCTCACTCTCTTTCATCTCTCTCTCTTTGTTTGGAGGACTGGAAATAGACATTTAGATGGGATTGTATATAATGAGATCATATACTTTTGATACAAAGAGGTCACGATTATTTACATATATCCGATGTGAAATCTTATAGCTTGAGTGTATAACAAAGTTCAAGAAAAATTATGTTGAAATTTGAGCTTGGTCAAGAGAATAAATGCATCTATCTTATTTCACATCCAATAGTCAATATTAAATGTGACCATCTTGCAGCACAAATAAATAGTCTCATTGTATACTTTTCCTATTTAGATATAAATACATGAATACTGTGCTCTACTGTCCCTTCTAATCTAGAACGATTTTCCCTTCTGTACTAGAGTTCATTCCCTCCATTAGTGCCATTAATCTCAAGTTTACCTTATCAATAACAACAATCTTAACAAAATAGCACTTGGGGGCAAGGGCAGGTGCTTGGAGGAGATCCCCTCTTTCTTATTACATGTTAGGGTTTTTTACCTTACTTTGCTATTGCACCCTCAGATATTAATGAAAAATACTTTTTGTTCACTATTATATTTTCATAACTATCAAACAAAGGGTATGGTTTGTATAGAGCCGAGGTTCTAAATAATCAAAGTAAATCACACGTTCAAATATATTCAAAAAATGTGGTTTCAATAATGGAAATATTTGTGATATCATTAGAATATTTTTCAATTTTAATATAAAATTTAAAGCTTTAAAAATAGTGTAGACCGTGTAGATCTTTAAAAATTTGAAAATCTTGAAAATTGACAGTCAAAAAATGCGTTTTGAATTGCACTGTTTTTAAAACTTGAAATCCATTTTTTTATAACGTCTATGCATCTTGATGGCGAGATGATCTATTTGAGGATATTTAAACATCAAAACAACTTTTTCTAATGAAAATTTTTAAATGAGCTCTAATTTGATTATTTAGAGCTCTTTCCATAAAAAAAGAGGAATGCGAATCTTTGTTTAATGCAACAAGGGGCATAATTTAGGCATTCTTTATTTCTTTTACAAAATATATCATAATCATTTCATTGCAGCCCGATTTTTTTTTCTCTACTTGCCATACTCACTCTAAAGCATCCCCACCATATTTTTCTTGCTCTGTTATCTTTTCTCTATCTATAACATCATCTACCACAAATTTTCTAAATCTGCATCTATTTTTTTTCTCTAGAATACCACCCACTACAGGATTTTTGGATGAACAAAGGAACTGGGGCTCTCGGTCCGTAGTTTCTTCGTTCTGGAATTTTGGTGCAATCAGCAATGTCCACTGAATAAATAAAATGGACGTTGCAAATTGCAAAAGCCACAATGCATCCTCTAAAGCATCAAATTCAAGAAACAAAAGTTGAATTTGGGTTTTTTAAACAGTGTTATTTGTATAAGGATGAGGCACTAAACAATGAAAGTAAGGCACACCTTCAAATAATGCCAAAATATGTTGTTTTAATATTAGAAATCTTATGATAACTTGAAAATTTATTTTTGTCTCTAATTATAATATTTAAAAGTTAAAAAATAGTGTAGATCAAGCAAATGCATGAACACTTGAAAATCTTGAAAATCGATGGTCTAGATAGTAGGCTATAAGATACTACAATTTCCAAGACTTGAAATCTATTTGGGAAAATTGTTTCATGTGGACTGGACCGCATTTCTACATATGTGTTCCAAAAGTGTAAAACATCCATCTTAAAGATGGATGCAAGTAGGTGGTCCACTTTAAAACAACGGAAACTAATGGTCCAAATGTTTTCTTAATAAAATTATAATTTTAAAATTTATGTATTTTTTTTTCATATTCATGATCTCCATGTTAGAGATTACATGTCCTCAAAAATTAAGTCAAAAAATCCATCTAAAAAATAGATTTTTAAGAGGTGCCGCATTTCTACATGTGCGGGCTTGGCCCGAATGCTAACCACGTCCATCTATTTTTTCTCATGTCCATATATCTCAGTATTAGAAAAACCGGCCAGTTAGAATCAAAACTGGCCTGTTAGATCGAAACCGCTAGGATTTTGAGTCCGATTAGGGCCGGTTTCGTGCATCTATTAGCCTAAGTGATAACCTCAAAAAAATTTTGGCCCAAAACCGGTCCTTTAGGGGTTGAATCGGCCGTATTTTTTTTCAAACCGGCCGGTTTTCAGCTAACAGGACCGGTTCGCTGATATAACGATGTTTTTTAGTAAATAACGGTAATGTATAAATAACGGTGTTATTTTGAAATAGGGGCTACTATGTAGTAGAAAAACTATGAATCCAAATTTTCACTTTTTTGTATTCGTTTTGGAGCCATTTTTTGGTTTTTTTTTCTTGTTTTAATGTTTTAAATCACTATGTAATGAATATAAAACAAGTAATTTGGATTTAAACATTGAAAAAAAAAAAAAAGGAGTTTTTTGGATTGAAATAGCGGATTTTTCAGGTTTTTGAAAAATTTAGCCATTCGTTCAATAATCTCTTCAATATTTAATGGTTCTTGAAGAAATTTGAGGGGTTTGATTGCTATTAGAAGTATTTACTAGATTCAAGTTTTAATTTGTTCAAAAAACCAAAGATCAAAACTTGATTTTTGCTCAAAAAACTGCTGCTCAGAGAACCTGTGTTCAATTCAAAAACATAGATTTTTTATCCATTTAATGGTTTTTTTTTTTTTATCAAATTGAGTTGTGGATTTTGATCATTGAGACTTCATATCTCAAATAAAATTGGTATATTTATTTATGATTGCGATTTTTTTTTTATAAGAATTGTTTTTGGACAAGGTATTGAAAATTGCATTGATCTGAAATGTCCGCCATTTTTATCAATCAAATCCAAAATACCGAATGTTTTTTTATGAGCTTTGGTGCATTTGAAAGGCGATTGAGGCCTTTACAATGCATGTATGTTGATTTGTTCGATTAGCATAACTTTTTTGGTCGTTTCTTGCTCGAAATGTTGCTCGATTTTAGGGTTTTTTGAGAAATTTATTTTCCTAAAAAAAAATTCATTTTGCTAAATAAATTTATGTTGTTTGATCAGCATGGGAAGTTTTTTTCTATATTGATTAATAAAATTATTTTTTTAATAAAAAAAACTATATTCTTTTATGAATATGGGAAGTGTTTTCTATTTTGCTTAACAAAATTATTATTTTTGATAAAATTGGTTTTTAATAAAATTATGTTTTATGATGAATATGGGAAGTGTTTTTCCATTTTGCTTAATAAAATTATTTTTTGATAAAATTACGGTTGTTTAATAAAATTATATTTTATGGTAACTATAGGAAGTGTTTTTCTATTTTGTTCAATAAAATTATTTTTTGATAAAATTATTTATTCTATTGTTTTTATTTTTTGATAAAATCAATGCACAACATGCTCATATGGACATGGTAGATACATATAATAACAATAGAACATATCAGTGTGTTGTGCATTGATTTTTCGTTTTGTTGTATATCATGAGATGTACTTTTTGCGAAGTATGCCTTATTTAACTTCATCGAAAAAGTATTGTATGAATTATGTTTTATCTAACTCTATGGAAGAAGTCCTTTCCGTTTTGTCTTAATTAGTTGGCGCTTTTTATCTGATTTAATAGCATCACACTACTTTTGTTATTTGCAAAAAAGTGCATAAACTTTCATTCCTAATGTGAGTGATTTTTGTACAAAAGAAACTAGAAAGTTTTTCATGTGAGGTTTGGGATGAATATGTTAATTTTAGAATGAAAATGTTGCATGACAAAAATATCTTTAAAAAATATCCTAATTTAGGAAACAAAAAGATTTATGTGACTTGATTGAGATCATGTACATGACCATAGTATTCGAATATTAATTTATAAAAAGTTGTTTCAAATTTTTTTATAAGATAAATATATGTAATAAGATATTATACACTTAATCTAAGTTTTTTTTATTTTTATATATTTTTTGGGGTTTTTGACCATTTAAAAAAAAATCTATTTGACCAGTTAGTCTGGTTAGCCACCTCGGTTAGTTCGGTTCAAACTGCTCCGAGCCTTCCATTTTACGAATCTTGAGGTCAAGTTGATTGAAACGAGGGTTTTTCAGCAGCGAAACAACCTCAAGTAAAAATTTGAGGTATGCGTTGTTTTAGAGCCTCACCTTTATGTAAACTTTTTGTTTTTTTTCTACTTACTTAGATCGAACCATCCAAAAATACGATTTTAGCTGAAGGAGTAAACATACAAAATGCTCCCGTGGGAGCATATAATCTTTTGGCTCATCTGGGAAGAAACATGCCTTTATTTAGAAACAGCCCCTAACGGTGACGGTCTTACTGACCGAAGCAGCCAAAGTAGAAAGCCTTCAAAAAAAAAGAACGTTGGTGCCTCATAAATCCGAACCGTCCAATACGCACTGCCATTTGTTCCTTCAAATCCGGACTGTCCATCTCTTTCATAACGTGCCTTTTGCCTAAATAGCCTCCAACATTCGGTCGCCCCGCCACGTGGCAGCACAAACATCCTCCACGTGTGAAAACGGAGCGTGTAAAGGCCCAACATTCGGCTGCTGATTTTCAGAGGACTTCAGGTCTGATCCCTGCAATGGCCTCTCTCTCTATCTCTCTCTCTCCTAAATTTAGGGATTTTGATGCGAACTTTCTCTCTCTTCGTTTCTGGTACGCATTTCCCTGTTACGCCACTTACGCCACTACTATTACTAAGCTTTATGCTATTACATTAGCTGAGTTTTAGAAGGAATGACTAGGTTTTCTGTCAGACAAGCCATTGAAGACTTGAATTTCTTCTTGTTTTTCCTTATTTTTCTTTTCAGAGTTCCTCTTAATCCGAGTTTTTTCTCTTTAATCAAGAAATAGGCTTCTCTTTGAACTTGGTGAGGTTTCATGGCTTTTCGCCAAATTTGGAGGCGTTTGTTGGTTTGTGTTGAGTAAATTTAGGTTTTTCTTCTACGAAGTGGTTGAAAGATCGAAATGTTTCATGTTTCTTGAATTTCTGGTATCCTTGATCTCGTGAATGAAGTTCTTTTGACCATATGAAGTGATTAAAGGCCTTTTTCTCAAATTCTTGAGGCATTAACTTGCCTGTTTGCTTCAAATATAATTGCGAACACTTTTCTAGGCAATGAGTTATTAGTGGATTTTGTTCTGCAAAATATTTGTCAAATTTACAAATATTTGTAAATTATTTGGTCTTTCTTTGTGTTTCATCTCTCCTAGATCAGTAGAATTGGTAAAATAGCTTACATATCAAGTTCTTAGTGTTTCTTTCTCAGTAAAAGTGCATATTGTTGATTCATTTGATTGAAGTTTGAGGCTTGCGTAGTTGTTTCCTTTCAAGGTGCCAGCACGCATTTCTTATTCTTTGAAAACCTTAGTATTGGTGAATTCTATTTCGTTGATCAGAACCATGGATCAAAAGGCATTTATTTGATCAGTGATCATTAGCTCCCTTAGCTGTTATTTTACAATTGATGTGCAAGTTTTCCTTTCATTAAATGGTTGCTGATTAGATTATTTCCCCTTTTATTTACTTCTACAGTGGATTTTAGATTGAACAAATTGTTCAATCCTTGAAAAGGCCGCTTCACCAATTACTTGCATCACTATAGAAGCTCTATTGGGCGTCTTGTTATCCATGAATCTTGAATCTCTTTGGTATTGAATGGTTTTCCTCCATGCTCTCCCATTGTGAGCTCTATACATTACCTCATTAAGCTCCTGCAGAAACCTCTCAAAAGCAATGGATTAAAGCTTCTGATCTTTTGCAACAATTCTTTTAAACCCTGCAAGCGTGCACACCTCCCATCTTTTTCTTATTGATTTTCCCAGTATACTCAGTAACAGGAGATCTGTTCATTCCCCTATGATCTTTTCACTTTATTCAGCCATCATAACATTGTGAAAGAAGAAGCTTCACAAATGGGGGGCTGCGCATCCAAGCCAAGACAAAAACCCAAATTACCTTCACCATCTCAAATCGTTCAAGGCCATCCTCTTGATCAAATGGAATCCAAGTTTCCTGTTATCCATTGTGGCTTTGATGTGGGTTCGGTACCCCTTTCAAAATTCACAGAACCCAAATTTCTTCCAACCATGGGTGAGGATTTATTGAGAAAGCCTATGCCTGCTCTTGTTGTAATGACGACCCTGCAGCATAAGAGCATTTTGTTTCACATTGATCGTATATTTTGTTGGGTTGAGGACTTATCAAATAGGCGAAAACATGGACCACAAGTGGTTGTTGATCCATCAATGGGGAGCCCCAGAATGGAAGTTAAAAAGTTGGGCAGAAGTTATTCTCAGCTCCTTGAGTTTATGCTTGAGCATGCACAAATGGAAGAGAGATTCATCTTCCCGGTGTTGGAGAGAGCAGATAGAGGTGACTACTGCAAGTTTTTATCTATAGTGACTTTTTTATTTTTTCATTCATTATCCATGATAAGCTGAAGTAGTTTAAAAGGAATTATGTTCATGACGGACTGTATTAAAGGCTGATAGATATGTTGTTTTACTTCATAAACTTTTCTAGGTTTTATTTCAAAATTCTTGTCAAGTACTGATAGATCTGTTGTTTTACTTCGTAAAATTTTCTTGGTTTTATTTCAAACTTATTTTCAAGCACTGATAGATCTGTAGTATTACTTCGTAAATTTTTCTTTGTTTTATTTCAAAATTATTTTCAAGCAAACTCTAGTGGATACTCATGTTGTAGTTGAACACCTTTGATAGCAGGCAATGTGAGAGTTTGTGAGCATAGCACAATAATTTCAACCAGAATTAGTATCTTTTCTAATATCAATAATAATGAATAAGTTCCTAAAATTTGCTATATTTTTTTAATGGTCTTATGTATCTTAAAAAGAACTTTGTTTTCTTTTATTTATTTTATTTTATTTTATTTTTGGGTAGTTAGCTTAGGAGAACTTATCTACAAATTTCCACTTGATGTTAACATATATTGGGTATTTAATAACTACAATTGATAACATATTTTACTTATTAGAAATTTAAAATATGCAACAATGCATTTGAGCTTTATTCTTTCTTGTTATGATAGATTAATCTCTATTTGGACATTGCCGGACTTTATAGATGGTTTATTTAAGAGTTTATTTTACTTGTATGATGCCTTTGTAATTTCTGTCAAAATGAAAACTGACTGATAATGGTTTGAAGACTGAGACCATAGTGACTAAGTTGCAGGACTATCCAAAGTTGCAAATGAACAACACGCAAAGGACTTTCCTATCATGAATGGCATTCGGGAACAGATAAAATCCATTGGAGTTCTTGAGTCCGGGAGCCCTGTTTATGAGGAAGCTTTCCTCAACCTCTCTGCTCGATTGAATGATTTGCAGGTTTGCATTCATTCCATTCCTCTATAATTTATTTTTAGAAATTTTGCGGCAGATTTGCTTTCTTAGGAAAAATTTCAAAATGTCTTGAATTGTTTGATGAATCATTAGATGCTTTTAGAATATGAACATGGGCTGAATTGTTATTTTATCAAGTTTATTTTTCCTCACAGAAGGAGCATTTGGTACTTCTGTTTTCCAAAGGGAAGGTTTTTCCCTATTGAACATGGAGATAAACTATTTCTCATGCAAAACTAGATATGCATTCAAGGAACAATTCTTGTTTCTTGTTCCCTATGTTTGATCTCTCAGTCTTCTTATTTTCTTGTGCTCTATATTCAATCTCTTAGGCTCATTGTAAAGAGCATTTTGACGAGGAGGAGAGAAAGTTGCTTCCACTTTTAGAGGCAGCAGACCTGAGTAGGGAGATGCAAGAGGGTACTTTGGGTCAATGCTTTGAGGTTATGGAGGCCACCCACTCTCACCTCTTCAGCTTTTTCATTGCTGGCCTTTCTCCCATTGATGCTTTCTGTTATATTGAAATGGTCAAGAGGTGTGGAGACAAAGACCGTGTTACTCGCATTATCCAATCGCTTGGTCGTGCTCCAAAAGACTATTGAAGGGTTAATGGTGGTTGGTCTCTCTTGGCATGAGGTGCTAGACTAACTCCAATTACTGGCTTGCATTTAGAGACACCCATCCTCTCTCTCAATGTATGGTGCTAGACTAAAGCTCCATACTGGCTTGCAATTACTGGCCTGCATTTAGAGACACCCATCCTTTCTCTCAGTCTATGGTGCTAGACTAAAGCTCCAAAGAACCAGCTACGAACGAGCTTGTATTGCAGAGACGCCTCTCTCTCGGCTGCCGAGGAAGGAATCAAACCCCTGGCAGTCTCACTTCGACAAGGCTATGAGGTAGGTTCTATGTTTTCGCTCCCTCTTTATATGCTATAATTCTATCCTGGAGGCATTTCTTTTTGCCCTTGTAATAATGAGCTTTAAGAGAGGTACATGAAAGTGATAACAGAAACGTATTAAGACCCATGATCTGTGTAATTTCTACATTGGTGTTGTAATTTCTGCACCCCTGTATGTAAATAATTGATCTCTCTCTCTCTCTAAACCGGGAAAATAATATAATGGATGAATTGCTTTTGATTAGTGCATTTCTTAGAATGATGAATTGAATCTCTCTCTCTCTCTCACTCACTCACTCTGTTTCTTAAAGTAATGAATTTGAACTCTCCCTATGTTCTTAGAACAGAATTTTAACTATATTTCAGTTCTTAGAACAAGGAATTTCTACTCTCATTGTCCTTGTTGAGTCGGAAAAATAATATAATTAAGGGTGGCAATGCGCTGGGTGGCCCGACCCTAAATAACTAAGGCCTGGGCCATGAAATGTGGCCTGAGGGCTGGGCAACTAGGCCTGAGGGGCAGGGCAGGGCTGGGCTGGGTCGGGGCAAATGCCGGCCTGGTTCGGCCCATACCTCTTTTTTTTTGGTTTTATTTCCAATTTTATTGGTGCAGCCTGATAGGGTTAGAGCCCCAGGACTTGGGTCAGGGACCTTTTGGCCCAATCAGGGCTCGGCTGGGCATGGCGCGGCCCTATGGGGAGTAGGGACTATGGCCAGGCTAGGTACATAGGCCACTAGGCCCATTGCCACTGCAAAATAGAGCGTATCAACTATTATTTAGCACAAACGGACAATCAAACTTTTATTGAAAAAGTTTCCATTTGCGTCTGCATGTTTGGACTCACCATTGCAATCACACTAGAGTATATAATTGGGTTTGTCTGTAAAGAGACCATTTATCTTTTGTACATGGAGGTCACAGTCATTTATACTTATTAGGCGTCAAATTGGATGGTTTGGGATAAATCATGAAGTCCGAAGTTTTTTCTTTGGAACTTTGTGTCTATTCAATGATACTCTGCTAACTACCCATTTTAAAATTTAAGAGACAAGAATTATTGTGACCTCGAATGATTATAACCTCCATGTACAAAAGATAACTAATCTCTTTGTAGACAATCCTTATATAATTTATGTTGAATACGGTGAGAATACACAACATATCCCTTTTTTTATATAATATCAAATTAATTTGTTGATAATGTGCATAAAGATAAAGAATTACAATGAAGAGATCTGTCCATCCACTATAAGGGTAGAGAGCCACCAAATTTAGCAAGTTGGCCTACCAACTCATTACTTTCTCTGTAAATATGGACAAGAGCATAAATCATAGATTTGTAGCCAAAAGAATCGACAACATATGGTTGTTACTCTTCATATATTACAAGTTGAGATTCGGGAAATGGGCTTGGGTAAAAAAATCAAACTCTTAAACTATTAGGAAAAACGGGTAGGGCTGTCTTTGTCACTAAATTACCCAAAAAAAAAAACTACGAGTTTAGAGTTGAGACTTTAATACATATAGAAATGATGGATCTTTGTTAAGTTTAAAGCCCAAAGGAAAGTACAAATGTAAATAAATCCAAATCTCTACATTAAAGTTTAAAGCACAAAAGAAAGTATAAATGGAAATGAATCCGAATCTCTATACTAAATTAATGAAATTCATTTCTCTCCTACCACCCACAGAGATAGAGATAGAGAATGAAGTCATTCAAATCAAGTTATTGTGAAGAATAGACCCATAGGCCGTAAGGATGGGCTCAAGGTTAGGTGGTATGGGCGGTATGCACCGTAACACGAGGTCTTGAATTTTATTCCTGTCATAAGATAAGGGATAATTTTCTTGTTGAATTGCTCAAAAAAAAAAAAGAAAAAAAAAGAAGAAGGGTAGACTCGTGTCATGAAAGTTAAAAGGATAATGACTCTGGGATAATTGTACAAGAAATAAATTGAGCTTTTAATGCATAAACAATGAGACTATATTTATCTTTGACACAAGATGGTCATAATTACTTACAATCATCCAATGTGAAATTAGATAAAAAAAGTACTTTTATGTTTAAAAAAAGTATAGAATGAGACCTATTAAGAAATTGAGAGAGAGAGTTTTACATTAGGTCGAAGCATTAATTCCAAATTATTTCTCCTTACGAAATAGGGATTCTCTCTCTCTCTCATGCTGGGCAAAAACATTGGGCTCTAAAAAGTGAAATCCTTAAAATTAAGATTTGTCGTGCTGAGAGATCGTTTGAGGAAATAGGAAGATCGAGGGATGTTTGGGTTGAGGAAACCTATGTAATATAATATATTTAAAAAATGTATTGCGTGTTCTCGCAGGATTACATTGTACTTATTCCTTTGGGTAAATTACCTATCTAGGAATATTTTTTCTATCCAAAATCTTTAGGTCTACTTTAGTATCACCAGATGAGTAATTTAAAAAACAAAAAAATTCACTAAACACTTAATGAGTAATTTCAAAAAACAAAACTATTCACTAAACACTTTAATCAACGTTTTGAAAATTGGTCTCTATTCATTCTAGTATCTTATCTTTTTTAGAGGCACATACAAATTGTATACTGCTCTTTTTTTTGCCTCTTAGTTTGGTTGTTACGCTCAGGAACATGCCCATAATTCGATGTCTCAGAAATACTCTTAAATTGTGTTTTTACTAGGAAGCATGAGAGCACCTACCTAATATTGACTTTTGTTTAAGAAAGAAATGTCTTGATGTGTCCTTTTGGTGGGGTGGACGATGCCAATCTTGACAACTTTAACTTTATTTTCCTAGGTCAATCTCTAGCCAATTTTAAGTTTAAGAAATTTTAATTTCATTGCTAGTGAGAGAAGAAAAAGAGAAGCCCAAAGAATAAATTATCATCCTAAAAAAAAGCCTTAGATGCTCAATTTTGAGCCAAAACCTTAGGAAATAGTCGACAACAATGCAGGAAAAATTGAACAGTCAGAATTCTAACCACCCGGATAACCGGTTTTGGTGAATTGACTGGATATTTAATTTTTTTTTTAAAAGAACCTATATAAATTTTTTTAAAATAAAAAAAATGTTTATAATACATTTTTTTTAATATTTTTCATCAATGAAATACTCAATTTCGAGCCGGGACCGGAGTTGCTCTTGATTTAAGGTCCCCCAAGACCCCAACGCATGTTGAAAGGACGAGAGCGCGGTGGATTTGTATTTTGGAGGGAATATGAAATACTGAAAATTGTCGAGAGAGAGGGAGAGGACGAAGAGTGAGAAATCTGAAATAGTAGGACTGTAGAGAGAGAGGGGGAAGAAGAGAGAGAGAGAGAGAGAGAGAGAGAGAGAGAGAGAGAGAGTGG